TTTCTATTTATTTTTTTTCATCCGTTTCGATGGTAAATTGGTACCGGCATATGCCAGGAAGTCAAAATTGTCATCAGCTTGCTTTCAAGCAGCCCTTGATTGAGGGATCCTTCACTTAGTCAAGTGAATGGTTTTTACGGCTAATAGAAAGGTATTTTGAAGTAGGAAAAAGAATAAGAGAGAAAATAATATTAAGGAATTAGTATTAGTATAATATTAAGATAACACTTGAAGTTTCGTGAAGAGTGGAATGCGAAGGATTTTGGATTTTGTTATTGGTGGGGAAGTAAAAAATTATGGCCAAGATTAATTCTCAACTGTGTGCATTTTGTAAGAGCAAAGTTGACAGACAGAAGAGGGAAGAAGGCCACGAATTAAGAATTAGGAAAGGGAAGGAGCAGTTTGGTATAATCTTAGTACCACTTGCATGAGCTGCTTGTGATGGGAGCATACAGCCTCTAAATTTAGCGTATCATGACAGTTGCTATTCTTTTCTCCTTTTTATTTGCTTAAATTGACGATTTTGGAACTTTCCTGCTGAAAGCAGCAATGTTTGTGGTTGTATAACAATTTAAGGCAATTTTCACCCCGTTTTATTTAGAATTATCTGTGCAGTGTAATTCATTTTTTCCCTTTTTTCTTCCTATTCAAACACTAAAAAATTTGAGTGAAGTATAGTTACAAAAACAGTGAAGGGCATGCGAGGAGGGGGTCACAAATTTGGAGAGTTCCTGAATTATGACCTCAGATGAATTGAGGCCAAATCTACTTTTTGTGCTTGCACAGGCCTGCACAAGCAGTGTTGCTGTGGCACAGTGTTTTGCATTTATGCGCGTTTGATTCATCTTTTTAGTTTGGATTAAAAGATATAAATAGCTTCACATGATTTAGTAAAAAATAGGCTTGTAAATTTTGTGTTTTCAGGCGAACGAATTGAATTCCGAGGAAGCACGAGAGCGCCTGCGACAATACCAAGATTTCCAAGAGCGTATTAGACAACATCGTGAACCCGTTAACCGAGACAAGGTTATTTTTCTCATCTTTTGATTTTTATTTTCCATTATGAAAAAACTATCGCTTTTGATTGCTAATTGTTGTTTAAACTCATCGGTATGTTTCAGACTTAGCGAAATTTGCCTTTTTTCCGAATTGTCACTTTTTTCTTTCTTTTCCTCGTTTGTGTTCTCCGGTACCTGATGGAAAGGGATGTACTTCAGTTTTGCCGGAATTTGCCCAGTTTTGGCACATTGCCAGATATTTAATTTTCCAACATTTTTGCATCTGCATTTTCAGCATTGCAATGTGGTCCCGTTATGTTACGAATTGATATTCAGCACTTTTTGTCCTGTTCTTGTCAGCAAGCTAAAGCAAACAACCTAATTCTTAAGCCTATCTAAGTTTACTCGCCCTCATTCTAGATCCACTTTTTCGTATAATTTGAGTGTAATTTTTTCAAAAAATAAAGTTCAATTTTTATTAATTCTTTGAAGCTGAAATTAACGCTTTTCGGCTTTATCGCAACCCTAAAGGCAATTTGCTAGACTAGTGTGTGTGTGTGTGTGTGTGTGTGTATGTGTGTGTGTGTGTGTGTGCGTGCGTGTGTGTGTGTGTGGAAACGCCCAATTACTTATGTATATACATATATACGTGTATATGTATTGATCATTAAATACATTAACTAAAGTTATACAACGCAAAGTAAGATAAGAACAAAAACACAACAAAGGGCTGCAAGTTTTCGAGGAGCCGAAACTCCTCAGAAGAGTATTTGTCGTAAGGAATAGCTCTCTGGATCCCAGAGATTGGGAGAAGCGCTTTTATACCGCGGTGGCCAGAGATCACTGAGACTGCAAAACTTTGAACGGGGGTGGGGTGTCCAGAGGTTGAATCGGGGGCTGGGATATTGCATCATAGCGACGCAGTTATTCCTTATGGCATTTCTAACAAAAAACCATGAATCGTTATTTGACATATTAATGGCAGATTAGTTTTGTTTGTGTTTGGCTAGTTTATTTCTTTTTGAAACGACATATGATCATATTTTCTACGTTTTTTAAGCGAACATTTGCCATGCTGATTGCCAGCGTTCCAAAGTTTGACAGGCCTTTCTCAAATAGGTTGCTTTATTTCAATGTGCAAGCCATAGCAATACAGAGTTTAGCAAATTTTGCCTTACTTTGTTTAATTTCATGCGCATCAACTAAGTTATCACTCTTTGGCTAAATTTTTTGCGTTTTTTTTTTTTTGTCAAATTTTTCTTTCACTTTTCTGCCACATTATTTCGAAATTGCATCTGGTGACTTTCGTGTAAAGCATGATCTTACCCTCTTCTCCTTTGGACTTAATCCCGCCACATTTAGCAGCAATCTAGCGCCATCCATAGCCCATCTCTAGATTTGTTTGTGAAGCCATCAGGTTTTGTTTCTTTAATAATTGTGCTTTTCAAAAAGGCTGCACTCCATTTTTCGCCTAAACTGAAGGAGTTTGGCGTTCTTGGAGCCTAAAAATTGCTCATTTTGAGACCATCACTGATATTTGCAAATTTTTTTAGACGATGGCACCTACGGCACGGCAGTCAGTTGCGCAGCGTTCACTTGAGAACTCGTTGAACCGGCCTCAGCCACAGCATTCAAATCCAGCTCCAGCACCCGACCGTGAGCGCTTCAGCAATGCAGAGGTAAAATTGTTGTATTTCTTCAGGATATATGCAGATTATTAACCTACACTTATTTGAAATGGTAAATGTGGCCATTAAAAGGGCGAATCATAA